TTTGCTTGGAGTTTCTTTTCCTTTTTTAGAAATGACTGGTGAAGTTGGCACAAGCAAACTCCAGAAAACGTAAAGCAGGCTTGACTTTCCAGAAATTGCTTTTGGCTGGCTTTAGCTGCATTCCCCAGGATCACGATCAGCAGTAGATATTTGCAGGTTTTGCTCTGCATCCTCAGCCTGCCCAGATGTTGTTCAGTGTTTCAGCAGTGGAGAAGACGATGGATATTTTGCTAAACCTCCTTTCAAACAACAAAACTTGGGTTAGCACGACAGAAAAGAAGAAAAGAAAATCTTCGCCAGTTAGAACAGAGCCAGAGTCCCACCATTTCCCCCTCCACTTTTCTTTCTTTTCTACATTTAGAGGTAAAGCTTCCATCTCCAAAATCTTCCATCTCTCACTTCCTGATGTAGCCATTTGCTACCCTTTAGCCTTGACTGCCACGCATCGGACTGCTGTCCGTGTGGGGCTGGGGATGCTCAGCCTGGAAAGAGAAGGGGGCTGGCGAGGCCTCCCTGCAGCTCTAGGAAAGATGAGCACAGAGAGGAGAAGCCTTTCAACTGCAGGAGTGAGCTTGAAGTTGGATCTAATGAAGCTGCTCTTTTCCACTCCGGCTGCTGGGCCACTGGCCCAGGCTGTGCACAGAGGCTGGGGATGCTCCATCCTTGGCAACATCCAAGGCCAGCTGGGAGCGGGGCTCTGAGCAACCTATTCTGGGCGAAGATTGCTCCGCTTGGAACAAGATGGTCTTTAGGGTCCCTTCCAAGCCCAAGCACCCAGGGATTCCATCATTCATTCTACGGTCTCCGTTGTCCACTTCAGCCTGGGCCTGAACTCCTGGCGGTGATGTCACAGTGCACGCTCCAGCTAGAACTTCCAGCATCCAGCAACGGCCACAACACAACCCTTGGCTCTTTGTGCCAGCACGCTCTTCATTCACCCTGCTCCAAGCCTACCCCTGTCACCTTGTTGCCACCTGCTCCCTGATTCCCCCAGCAGTTTCCATGGAGGCGGACACCCCGCAGCTGCCTGGCTGGGCTGGAGCTCTGTGGGACAGGGTGGGAAATTTTGCTACCTCTGCAGGCTGGCACAGACTGAGAGGAGGAGACGGACGACGATACACAGACTGATAGAGAAGAAGCCATGGAAGTGGACGGAGAGGATACTGGAGAGCAAGAGATGGATGTGGATATGTACGAGACAGAGGAAGAGATGGAGGTGGAAACGTAAGATTATATTGAAGAGATGGATATTGATCTAAAAGACAAGGAGGAAGACATGGTCTTGGGATGAAGACGGATGCCAGCAGCAGAACAGGCAGGTGCTCCCCACAGGCAGAGTGGGTCCCCTGCTGCCAGCCTGGGGCCGGGCTGGGCACTCCCTGCTCAGGGACACGCTAGCCCATGCACTGGATTCTGCTGGCCATCCCTGGCCTGGCCTGGGCTTGCTGTGGGCCACACAAGCCCTGTTCCAGTGCCTGGGCCACAGCCCCCAGCCAGGCTCCCTTCTGGCAGCAGAGTCCCACTGGGCCAGTGTCCCAGCCCGGCAGCACATGGAACACCCTTCCGCGCCTGACTGCACTGACCGTGCTACTTGTTTTTCCTTCCAGGACTTAGGGACATCACAGACACAGATGCCACCCTGCTGTACATACGTTTTACAGTTGTTGTGTTCAGGATAGAGGTTTTAGAGCTTGTTTAAGTTGTCTGTAAATACGTTTCATAGAGTTTTGTTAGATCTGTTCTCAGGTAAATAGGTTCTATAGTTTGTTGTTGTTGTTGTTGTTGTTGTTGTTGTTGTTACCAATATTCTTACAGTGTAAATATGTGGTGTAGTTCATTCTTGTTCCTTTTCTTCTACAGATAAACAGTCTTTGATTTTCACACCC